TTTTTTTTTTTGAGACAGTCTCACTTTGTCACCTTTGGTAGGGTGCTGTGGCATGACAGCTCACAGCAACCTCAAACTCTTGGGCTCAAGAGATTGTCTTGTCTCAGCCTCCCAAGTAGCTGGGCCTACAGGTGTCCACCACAACACCCGACTATTTTTTAAAGACGAAGTCTTGCTCTTTCTCAGGCTGGTCTCGAACCTGTGAGCTCAAGCCATCCACTGCCTCAGCCTCCCAGAGTGCTGGGATTACAGGTGTGAGCCACTGTGCCTGGCCAAGAAGTGTAACTAGTTTCTCTTCTGTGGTGGTTCCCAACACAGGCCTGGTCAGTAAAATCACAATGTCCCAGCTGACATCCCCTGCCTGCCCTTTCAACCTTGTCACCTACTTCCTTACGCAAACATTAACTCGGTTAATCCTCACCAGAACCCTTTCCACCAATACCAAGTTATTGTACCCCTTTTAAAGATGAGGAGAGTGAGAGAAGCCCAAAGCTGGCAGAAGTGGGGGACGTAGGATTCAAGCCCAGGCAGCTGGGCATCTGTGCCCCCATGCTGACCCACACTGCTGTACGCTTCTGAGGTTTTACTACAGGGACAGCGTCAGGGGCTCTGCACAAAAGGCGGCTCAAGAAATAGTGAGTGACCTTGATACAGTTTGGAGCATACGTGTCTGGAGAGTAGGGACAGCCTGTGTGCCAGGCTCAGCTCTGACTTACAGGTGCTGTGACCCTGGGCAAGTCATTCACTAAGTCCCAGTTTCTTCCATTTGTAAAAGTGGGAATACTACTTACCACACAGGTAGAGAACTTAGCATAACACATCTAAGAAACACTCAGTGTTAATTTGTTGATAAGCCAGCAATGGGCACAGTGCACGTAAATCTCCACCAGAGTCGTCAAAGCAGAGAAAGGAAACGGAGCAAGATTTGTACGTAGGGTGATCACAGTCCCCGCCCCCAGTCAGTGCTGGAGTCGTGAAATTACCAGGAGCAGCCCTTTCTACTCTCAAAAGGGTCCCAGGTCAGATGACAGAGAATATCATGACTCTAATCAAAATTACAGTCAATGTAGCCTCTGGCATGGGAAGCGTAGGTTGGACAGGGGGACTGTGATACGCCCAAAGAGAAATGGGGATTCACAGAAGCTTCATATATTTCAAGTCATAAGATAAATAAAAAAATCAAATCAAATCAATCAACAGAAGCTGCTACCAGGAGAGCACTGCAGTGATTCTGGCTGGAGTGACGCCTAAGACACCAGGGTCACTGTGGAATGGTCACACACTCTCAAAACTAGGAAGTCAGAATGTTTTCCCACCGCCTCTGGTTGCCTACTACAAAACCCTACAACTAATGAATGTCAAAGGCTTCACTAACAATTAAGGCAAGAAATAATACCGGCTTTTTGCCCCTTCAGTCCAAGAACACATGATTTTTTTTTTGAGACAGAGTCTCACTGGGTAGAGTGCCATGGTGTCATAGCTCACAGCAACCTCAAACTCTTGAGTGTGAGCAATCCTTTTGGCTCAACCTCCCAACTAGTTGGGACCACAGGTACCTGCCACCACACCCAGGAACTTTTTTTCCTTTTTCTTTTTTGAGGCAGAGTCTCACCTTTTTTGCCCTATAGGAAACAGATCTCATTCTTGCTGAGGTTGGTCTTGAACTTCTGAGCTCAAGTGATCCTCCCTCACCTCGGCTTCCTACAGTGCTAGGATTACAGGTGAGTCACTGGACCCAGCCAGAATACATGAATTTCCATCTAAAAAAGCTCACTAAAAATCAGGAGTTTCATCCCTGGCTAAAAAATACAAAACACCCAGGCAGTGCATGTGTTTCAAAGAGTAAGGTGCTGGGCCCATATACCGGAGATGGCAGGTTTGAGCCCAGGCCCATCCAAAACTGCAAAAAAAAAAAAAAAAAATGCAAATTACCCAACCTCACCCACAGCCCACTAAGAATATTATTTTGTTATGTCGATTTAAAAAATAGAAGAGCCTTAACAAGATTATAATGAATTTAAAATTATTTTCCTTGTGCAGTCCTGTTACTGTTTTAATTTAGTTTCTGATCTGAAAATCTTCACCACCATTCCATGTGGTCACAGCAAAAGGAAACAGGTGTCTGGGGAGTACTGAGCAGGGGGCCCGCCCGGCTTCTTCCCAGAGCCCAGGAGAAGAGCAACCTGCTGCCCCCGTGTGGCAGGAAGGTTTATAACCACCGATTTTCTCAAACTCCAGGAGTCGTGCTTAGAAGAGCTCAAAATGTTAACCAAGCCACTTGCCTTGTAAAATATCTTTTTCAGAATTTGAAAACAAACAAAAAAAAAATCCAACATTAACACTTTGACGCTTGTTCTTCAATAATTCTTAACCAAAAGGGCAAAAAAGAGTAATGGCTCAGGGTATGACAATGTCATCAGGCAGGTCTGGATTCTCCACCTTGGTGGCTCTGGGCATGTCACTGTCAGTGTCCTCACCTGTAAAATGAGGATGAGGACACTACTCATGCTCTCAGTGTGATGGGCACCCAGGGCGATGACGCAGGTAACTGCTCAGCATACTGCCCGGAAAATTCAAGTACTTATTTTTGATAAATTTTACATTTTTAGTAGTGGATTTTAAGAATGTCTAGCGCAATGATTTCAGCCAAAGGTGGTATGTGGAGATGAGCCACAGACCACGAGGCAGGTGGAGACACCACCTGGAGGCCTTCTTCAAAACACAGAAAACCGGCCCCGCCCTCGGTTTCTGACTCGGGGGGTGGGTCAGGCCCCAGGATGTGCCTTTCTGTATCTAACAAGCTCCAGGATGAGAACGCTGATCTGGGAAGGACTCGGAGAACTGCTGCTACAGACAGATGGCCCCTTTTTTCGCCCAGAGTTATGCTGTTCCTAAAATTGATCCTGGAAGTAGAATCTGGGTTCAGATCCCAGGGCTGCCACTATTTGTGTAATATCTTGGGTGAGTTAGTTGACTCTGTGTCTCAGTTTCCTCATGTCAAAGTGTGGGTATTAAAAATAACCCGTCTTGCAACAGCCGATCAGACAAGGTGAGGATTAGCTGGGCAGAATTAGAGCTCGCTGCTGTTCCTGCTGTTATTATGGCACTGAAGGGGTTTGGGGCAACAGGGGAGCTAGAAAGGGGGCAGCTCTTGGCCCAGGCTCCCTTCTCTTCCATTTGTTCTCATCGTCCACAGCAGACTCAAGTCTGGTGACCTGACCAGCTAGAACACTCATCCTGAGTGCCACTTCCATCTCTTTGTGTCCTGTACCAACCCAGACACCTTCCTGGAAAGAACCTCTCCCTAAAACACGTCTATGGGCAGAACACAGCACAAAGTCTCGGTTTCTAGTTGTTCCATCCCAATCAGCGGGTGCTCAGTCTCCATGAATCCAAGCTTACTCAGCTGAAAAGTGATACCAGGCTGGGCATGGGGGCTCACACCTGTAATCTTAACACCCTGGGAGGCCGAGGTGGGAGGATCACTT